TGGGCTAGACATGTTCCATAAGTTTGGGTGGTCTAGCCTTATGCCCTATGCAAGTTGGGTATGAGAGATAAATCATTGAAAGACTACGAACTATGGTTTGCTAAGGTAACTTGGGATGGGGAGAGAGTGCATGTTTGTGGGTTGGTCTGCATGTGATTGCGTGATGCCACTTCTTAGTCTGAGTTTGGATTTGATAGGTAGTTGMTGTARTTGCTYGCCACGTGCTAGAGCCATAGGAGTTAGAATCATTTCCTGCATTTGCTGGGCTCGTTTTGTTTTCACTTAGATCAATTTCTGCATTGTCTGGGGTCTTTGATTCGTACTTGGGCTTGTATAAATCTTGGTAAGCCACTTTCTCTATGGGAAGCGCTGCCGAAATTTCTACAAAATCAGGGAGTTAGCCAAAGTTGGGCCCTGAAGGATCAAAGTCATTTTCAGATTCCAAACTTRGCTTTGTATAAATCTTGGACTAGCACTTTCTCTACGGGAAGCGCTGCCGAAATTTCTACAAATCTAAGGAGTTAGTTGAGATTCTATCTGACACAACTTAGACTTTATGTCTAAGTTCAATTCTGACTTAGTATAGATCTGGGGAGCCTTCCTCTCTGAAGGAAGTGCTGACCAAATTTTTGCTAATTCAGGGAATTAGACAAATTTTGACGTTCTGGAACCCAAAGGTTTGACTTTTTGGACTAGTATATTTTCTGCGATGTCACTTTTCCTACGGGAAGCGTTGCCGAAATTTTCCTAAGTTAGAGGAGTTAGCCTATATTTGGACAAGTGACGACCTATGTAGGGGAGGCTATGGCGAGATCCACCTTACGCTGAGTGCTATCTAGAGGTGGACCTAGACTTGGTTAGATATGACGGCTCGAGTAAGGTCAGGAGGTGAAGGTTACTCTCCCTGAGCGTGTAGACTTAGCTTGAGATTGGCCTGGCTTGTGTCACAGGTCTCTTTTATCAAGTCGCTTCAGGACGTGGGCTGGACTCAGCTTGATCCTATTAGGATCACCTTCTGTTATCACATATAACAGGTTGGTTGCCTACTCGTCGGTTACGACTCAACCTCAACCCACTCTCCTTACTCAACCTAAAGAGGCTTCAACCCTGGTGATCTTTTCTGTTTTGTTAAGGTTTCACCCGGACTTTTATTGAATGGCCATTTAACAAAGGTACTGAGTATTTATTTAAGGTTGGTTGGCTGGAGGTTGGTTGGCTGGAGGTTGGGGCTTGCGTGGCTGAGGCAAAGGGTATGAGCATGGAGATTGGTTGGAGTTGACTCCGTGTAGTGTATGGACTTTTGCCTGACTCTTTGATGGGATTGCAGGTATGTTCTGTGATTGGGATTATTGGATTGGACTGCCTTGCGATCTTATATATGTGCATGAGGAGACCCACTGTGATTGTGAGATGTGATCGTCACACGTTTATTCCCATGTGTGTTTATATGTGCATAATGCGTACCTATGTGGGATACTTGYGTGGCTTGAAGAACCCGCATWTTGAGGACTTAATTGGGAATAGGGGGCTAGCAGAAGAGGAATGACCCCTCTATTTATATATACGCTTCTGAAGAAATTGTGGTCGGAYGTTAGYCCTGAGCCTAGAATACGAAGGTCCTCGCCCAGGACGACCCRAGTCCCAGGACTAGCTCTAAAAAGTTCCACTTCCGATAAAAGTCGAAGGTACTTTCCTTGTTGGGTTTTGTTTTGGTGGAACGATAAAGTTCCGAGCGGAAGGGTCAGCGTGTCGCTGGTGATACGCCAGACAACTGACCACCGCTCCAAATCCCTTCGTGCCCTAGGGACCGTCTTACCCCGCACCCTTTGGGACACCTCAGGGTGCAGAAGGCGGTAAAGCCCACAGGCTGGTTTTGCGCCCGCTAAAGGGTTACCCCCCCCCCGTAGCGTGCACTTCAGCCGACGACTGAGCATCGGAAGCAACCGCATGGCTCAGAATAGGCCATTTGGGTATGGGCACCACATAATGCGTCGTCATCGCAGTTACTCACATAGAGCTGCTTAGTGAATTGGTATGCGTGGATCCTACGTTCGAGCGATCTTATACTAAACCTCGCGTACGGCAGTTACCGACTTCCACTGCGCAAAGTCATGGGTTGGATACTAAGGGGCTAGGAGTGTGTCGCGTTGTACGTCCTTTGCGTCGTTCAGTACTTGTGTGCGTGTGTGTGTGTGCTTTACTTTTATGTACCTTATAGTGGTGTGCGTGTGGCGTGTGGGATACGTCCTAGTCGACCGGCGACGAGCCGCGCTTGGGACCTCAGCCCCCCAAGATGTTGGTTCGCTTGCGGGTCCGATAGAGGCGTAGTACCGCGCGTACCCCTTATGCTACAGCGAACGAGAAACGCCCTCGGCTGGTCCACCTCTGCAATTGCAGCTGATCAGCTTTCGTAGTGTGGACTGGTCGCTCGGCTGGGATACCCCCACCGAAGGGAGGTGACAACTCCTGTAAGGTGGAGGTAGTCGTGCCTCGCGTAGGCCCTGTCCTGTCGTAGGGGCTCGCGAGAGGTATGGCTGGCGCACCCGTCCGGAGCGGCCTAAGGAAGCCATGTATGTATCGCAAGAAGGGTTGTACCCTGACTCCTACGTGACGCGGCCGGGAGGGTCCCGCGCTACCTCTGAGTGGTGCCGGACCGAAGCGCACGACAGGTGGCGCCGTTGCCAGGGATGACGGTTGCCTGCCGTTGTCCCTGGTGGAACGACATCCGGGTATTAGGATAAGGAAGAAATCAGGCATGAGTGGGAGATTTGAAGTGAATTCGTAGGTAATACTACATGAGGGTGGTAGGATTATAGTAACTATGCGGGGAAGCCCTTAGTGAAAGTAGACCTTGTGAATGTAGGTCTGGGAACGAAAGGGACGTGGGTGTCAGTTAAAGTCTGAAACGCCCAAGGGCTAAGTGGTTAGATCGATAGGCTTATGCTGGAGTGAGAGTGCCGAATAAACTTGTCTGTGTACCTCGTCTTACTACAGGGAAGTTAAGTGAAGGACAGGCTGCTAAAATGACAGGCGGCATAGGCGACTGTTCAGGCAAGGTCCTGACCCTCGATGATCTCATCGAGGCGATGGACAAGCGGGAGAGAACGCCGAGGAGTGTCCCCAAAGTCGACACCTTCCACTTCAATGGGGAACGGGTCTCTAAATGGCTGGACCTAGTGGAGCAAGCCTTGGTGGGAGTACCAGACGAGACGAAATTCAAACGCATCCTGCAGTATGTGCTCCATAAGCACCATCCGGAAGTATAGAAGGTGGTCGACGACGCCAACGGCGACTGGGCTAAATTTAAGGAAGGAATGCAGCGGAAGTATAGGTTGGGGGATGACCTGCTGACTATGGCGGACCTAGAGGCAATGAATAGGGACGACTTCACCACCATTGGGGCATTCCTGCAAGAATTCAAAAAGAAGGCGAGAAAGGTACATGGGATATCAGAGGAGGCGCAGTGCGCCGTCTTCCTGGGACTGCTCACCGCATCTGAGACAATTAAGCTAACAAGCCATGGGGGAGGAAATGCCAAACTTACCTGGGCCACCATTGACGGAGGGGTGGAGGTTGGAGGCCTTGACCAGGTCGAGCAGCACCAGGTGAGGCTACAGAGGCAGAAACGGAAGGACAGGGATGCGGCTGGGTCGCCAGGAGTAAAGAAGATCATAACCGACGTATTAGCAGGGCTGGACCCGGTGATACAGCGGAAGGTGACGGCGGCAGTCCAGGAAAAAGGCAAGGGGGCCGTGGTAGAGGAGGCTACCCAGGAGGGATGGGAAGAAGAGGAGCCGGTACCTCCACACCTTACGAAGGCGGAGCGTAAGCAGCGCAATGTAGCACAAGGCGGACAAGGGTCAGGAAAGGGCCAGGCGCCTCAAGTAGTGGTAGCGGCATCTCCGAGCTCGTCCGGGCCGTCAAGTAGTGAGGGCCTGTCGCAAGCACCAGTGCCACCATTTGGGCACTGGCCGTGGCCCCTAGTTAATACCTATGTACCCTGGAGTGGCCCAACGCCGTCTGGACAGGTAATACCCTATGCTAGGCCCCAGACAAGTATGCCACCCACGAGCTACCCGGCCGTCCAAACTCAGCCAGCGGTACCGCCGACCCCAACGCCCACAAAAAGTTTACAAGGCAGTGTGGAGGGTGCTGGTAGTCAAGGCCAAGGGAACCAGGGGAATGGAGGAAGGGGCGGTGGACGAGGACGTGGCAGGAATAGCAGTGGCCGAGGAGGCCAATGGGGCAGTCAAGGCGGCCGAGGAGGCCAATGGGGCAACCAAGGTGGCCAAGGCAATCAAGGCGGCCAAGACAGCCAAGGGAATCAAGGTGGTGGAAGGGCCCGTTTTGACTGGAGAAGTGCCATATGCCAACACTGTGAGCAGCAGGGCCACACTATTAGGTTTTGCAACATACGGAGAGAGGACGAGAAAAATGGACTGATTTATTCTAATATGGATGGGGACATTTACGACCAATTTGGAGATTTTATTGATGGGAAGGCTGGTGGAGTTAGGGCGGAGGCCCAACGAAGGTTGGCAGCACAACAGCCACCCCCTGCCACGTTCAGGCTATGGCAGGAGAAGGAGGAACTGCCAGTTGGAGTTGAGGAAGTAGGAAGTGACGAGGAAGTAACCCAGAGGCTACAGGCCGGGGATGTAAGAGAGAAACCCATAATCATCGAGTCGGACGATAAGGGTGGCGATGAAGAGGTAGAGCCGACGGTGGTCCTGCTGAATAAGATGGAGGACTTATTGGACAAGGTAGGGAGATACCAACGGAAGTTGGTAGATCTCTGCGAGGGAGTGAAGGAGTGGAGGGTTAACCTCCCCAAGGTCTTCCTTTATGACTCTGGTCCGGAATCCATGCCAGGGCGGCGCGGAGTGACCACTGTGGGGACGGGCCCGCGATCAGGGATAATGACTAGGCCCCCTACCCCGCAAGCTAGGCTGGCTCAGGCAGCCCGCACTCGAAGTCAAGCCAAGGCAGGTGCGTGTCAAGAACCTCCTCGGAAGGAACCAGAACCAGAAAGGAGGAAGGAAACTGTAGAGGTAGAGGATGATGATGATGACGAAGGGGAAGATGACCGGTTACGTCAGGAAGAAGATCAAAGGGCCGAACAGCGAGCCAAGAAAAGAGAAAGTCGTGGAGAGGCCGAACCAGTTATGCAAGATGTACCACCAAAGAGGAAGAAGTATGCGGTCCGGCTAGAGGAAGGATTTGATGTGGAACGAGTGATCGACAGGCTGCTTGAGGGCCATAATGACTTGATGACCCTTAAAGAGATCCTGGCATCCGCGCCAAGGCTCCAAAACGAGCTGAAGGGTAGACTGTCAAGGCGGTTGGTACCAAATGTTCACCTCAGCGTGATCCTGCCCAAGGAGATGGAATGGGCAGAGCCAGGGACGAAAATGGATTGGAAGTGTGTGGCTTGTGGCGTGGTGGACCTAGTGGTGAAAGGCTGTAAGTGCACGGCCATAGTAGATACGGGGGCCGAAATGAACATTATTCGGGAGGCCGATGCCGTCAGATTTGGACTAGAGATAGACCGCTCGGACTGCGGCATCCTGCACGGGGCCAACAATAAGGCTGTGTTTTGTGGAACAGCCTCGAATGTGCTACTAGAGATTGGCAGGGTGAAAGCGCGGGCCTGTTTCTTTGTGATGCCCGATGTGGACCATAGTATACTCCTGGGGAGGTCCTTCCTATGCAGGACAGAGACCTTGATGTATAATAAGCATGATGGGTCATTAATCTTGATTTTATGTGACCCAGCATGTGGGAATTACGAAGTGATTACCTGCCGGAACACTGGGTCAAGGTGCCTCAGGAACAGGCCCAACCCTGGCTCTTTCACGATTGAGGAGTCAGAAGATGCGCATCGGAGGCTTAGGGCAGAACCCGAGGAGGAAGTAGAAGGAGAAGCCTTCTCGCTCAGCCTGTCGGATGTGGGAAAGGCCATGGATATAGTGGCCACGCACGAGATGGCCGATCCGGATGCCATTCAGGCGCTGAGGGAGCAGGTTCTGGAGTATCCCCAGATAGGGAAAATGGAGTTGGTCTACCGGCTTCCTAAGGGGGGAATGGATCCGGCGGTGGCGCAGACACAAGCACGAGCGGCAAGTCAACCTTTTTTAGGGGCCGGCTCAAGCAGGGTGTCCAAAGGCGGTACAAAACGGTAGACAAAAAGTGTCGCCCAGTTCCCGTTCTGGTGACCGAAGACGAGGAGGTGTACTACGAACGGGAGCGAGCGTTGATACGGCGGATGAGGAAAAATGCATCAGAAGGGCCATGCCGTATCAATGAGGAAAATGAAGGGAAGTTGATAGTGGGAGAACCAGACTTCCTACTACCGCGGGAAAGAGCCCTGATGGTGGAGCTGATGAAGAAAAGACATTGCACCTATGCGTTCAGCGACGAGGAGCGTGGCCGGTTGGATGTGGACAAGATTCTAATGATCCGCATCCATACCGTGCCGCACGAGCCATGGAATTTAAGAGGGGCGCGATACCCAGATCCGGACGAAGAGAAGAAGGTAGTGGACTACCTCGATGGCAAAATACGTACGCACGTCGTCGACTACTCAAGCGGACCCTACGCATCCCCGTGGTTTTGTTTTATTAAGCCTAATGGAACACTAAGGTGGGTACAGGACTTGCAGAGGCTGAATGCGGTGACCGTACGGGATGCAGGTGGGCTGCCAAATGCTGATGCACTATCGGAATTGTGCGCTGGGAGGCCGATAATTTCACTTATTGACCTCTACTCCGGATATGACCAGTTTCCGGTCTACCCGCCGGACCGACCAGTGACAGCTATGCACACGCCTCGAGGGCTTATCCACATGAATGTGGCTCCGCAAGGGTGGACGAATGCGGTGGCAATGGTCCAGAGGAATATGATCCAGGTCATGCAGACAGTTAGTCCACACATCACGCAGCCGTACATCGATGACCTGACAGTGAAAGGGCCGCGAAAAAGGGAGGACGATGAGGCCCTGCCTGGAGTAAGGCGGTTTGTTTGGAAGCACGTTCAAGACCTTGATAAAGTCTTGGGCTTGCTTGAGGAGTACAACCTTACAGCCAGTGGGCCTAAGTCTAAGCACTATATGAGGGAAGCGACTATCTTGGGGTTCGTCTGTAATGAGCACGGTCGGCGGCCGGATGTTAAGAAGACGGACAAGATAGTTGAGTGGCCGGTGCCATTCCGTTCTGTAACAGATGTAAGGAGCTTCTTAGGTATGTGTGGGTTCTGGAGGTCTTTCGTCAAGAACTTTGCGGCAAAGACAGAGCAATTGAGGAAGCTGGTCCGTCAGGATCAAGAATGGACCTGGGGTGAGGATCAGGAAGAGGCCGTGGCCAACATGAAAGAGGAGTTCCGGGAAGGAGGATTGGTGCTGGGAGCGCCCGATTATGACGCTACGGAAACGAGACCATTCATTGTGGAGACCGATGCAGGACCGACGGCCTTGGGTGGAGTTCTAATCCAAGCAGACGTCAAGGGGAAGGAGAGGCCGTTGCGCTTTGAGAGTCGCACGCTATGTACGTCAGAGAGAAACTACTCCCAATTCAAGAGGGAAACTCTCGCCGTCCTTCATTGTCTGCGGATTTTTCGAAACTACATCTTCGGCAGGAGGTTCATCTTGAGGGTAGACCCAACGACTCTGGCTTTCTCCATGAGGAATTATGTTCCGTCCGATCCAACAGTTCCCAGGTGGTTGACATACATCTAGATGTTCAACTTCGAGTTGGAACGGATCCCAGGGAACAAGAACAGGGCAGATGGGCTAAGTCGCATCAACTGGGATAGGCAGGACGGGGAAGCTGTAGAGGATACGCCCCCCGTTGATGGCTTTCTGGACCAGGACGAGGACATCCGCCTCCACATCAATAAGTGGTCCCCACGAGTCCCCAGCTGCGTTGGCCATCCTATCTGGCACGCGCCTAAGGGGTATGAGCGGAAAGCTGAGTTGGTGCTCAAGCCTTTCGAAGAGGAGGATCCCTGGGGTGGTAAGGACGTCCAATGGATGATCAAGTTGGCACTCGCAGGTAGCCATTGTATGGTGGATGAGGTACTGACGATAGAGGAGGGCCCGGATAAGGTAAAACATCACGAGGAATTAATGGGAGGGATGTACCTCCTCGTCAATGCGCTTCTCCCTTGATATGGAAAGCTCACTGAATCCGGCCGAAGGAAGAGATACGGCGTTGGAGAGCCAGGATGACGAGTTCGAAGAGGGAGAGATCAAGGAGGCATTCCGCGCAGAGGAGTATGATGGGATTTACCTAGAGTTGGGACTTCTCTTATCCTGCGAGATGCGTGATAGAGACGCAAGCCATAGGGCGCAGATGATGAGGGATCGCTACCTAGTAAGGGACGGTCATCTCTTCGTAAGAAGGAAAGTAGGAAACCCCTGGCGGGTGGTATGTGGTCGCAACCGTCAGATCGACGTCATAGCAGCGCTTCACGATGGCATTGCAGGCGGACACCGGGGAATTACTGCCACATATGCCAAAATAAGTGAGCTATACTACTGGGACGGGATGATGGAGATGGTTGGAAAAATTCTGTCGTTCCTGTGTGCCGTACCAGGAGCAGTCTCGTTTAAGGCCAGGAGAGCCACTACATCCAAGGCTGGAGAGAGAGGTCGGGGCTGTAGTGCACCTCGACTTATTGTTCATGCCCCTTGGAGATCATGGCTACAACTATATCTTCGATGCGCGCGACAACCTATCTGGCTTCGTAGATGGACGGGCAATCCGTACGAAGACTGGGCCAGTTCTGGTCAGGTGCATCGAGGACTATCACCTACGCTACCCGTTCGTTAGAGAATTCGTGATGGACAGGGGATCGGAGTTCACCTGCCAGGAGGTGCAGGAGCTGCTATCAAGGTATGGGGTAGTGGCCAACTACACCACGGCCGCGCACCCTCAGGCAAATGCTCCGGTGGAAAGGGGTCATAGTACCATTACGACTCTACTAGCAAAATGGACCGAAGGTAAGCCCAGCCAGTGGCCGAGGTATCTGAGTCGAGAGCTTTCTAAAGACTTGGAGGCGTCAGGACTTGGAGGTGAATCTGTCTTTCGAAGAGTTGCTCGATATTCGAGCTCGGCAGGTGGGCGCGATTGAGGAAAGGGTCCAAGAGGCATCCGACCTGGTAGAGAGGAGCCGTATGGACGATAAGGCTCGCTGAGACCAGTCGGCTCGTGTAAGAAAGGTACCCTTGGTAGTTGGGGACGTCGTGCTTTTGTATGATTCATCCCTGGAAAAACAATGGTCCAGGAAGTTGGACAAGAGGTGGTTAGGTCCCTACCGGATCATGCGATGCGGAAAGTTTGGTGCATACCAGATCGAGGAGCTGAATGGAGCAGAGTGGAAAGACTGGGTGTCAGAGACGAGGCTGAAGAAGTTTGTGGCCAGAGAATAGGTGAGATAGGCAACCAGTTCCACTAGAAAGGGGTAAATGGGTTTGTAGATTAGGAGGATTGCTTGGGGCATGTGCTTAGTTTGGCTTGAGTGTGCCTCTATGACGCCTGTTTGTTTACCCCGGCGCGTGCCTGTTGTCTCCTTCGCCTGTTGTGCAGGACTGACTTGCAGCCATGCCAAGAGGAGGGAGGGGGACACGGCCACCACGACGGTCGGCGGGAGCATCAGGAGGGCATGGACGGCATGGGCCTTACCGTCGAGCAAGCACCCCGGTGTATGATGATGGGGATATCGAGTTATTCATGGACGAGTTCTGGGGACACGCTGACCATGTGGGGTGGACCGTGACTCAGACGATCGAGAGGTTGAGGGGAGTTGGCAGGTTTATGGAGCCCATCGCACATATTCGCAGGGAGGCTCGAACGAGGTCGGAAGTGGAGGCACGGATGCAGGAACTGCGACTGTCGCCTGTGGGTCCTGATGGCAGACCTATTCAGCTAGCGATTGGGATTGCAGAGGAGTTCATCCCAGCATTCGAGCAATTCATGCAGAACCAGGGAATACTGCGAAGCGAGTGGGTGATGACATTACCCCTGTGGACCCGAAAGGCGGAAAGACCTTTGGCCAGACAGATCAGGAACATGGCCCGAGATTGGGATGGTTGTAGAGCGCACTTGAGGGCGGCATTCCGACAGCCAGAACCACCTCAGCCTAGAGTCGAAAGGCGCCTCAGGAGCGGCAGGCAGAGGGAACCTGAGCCCGCTGAGGACCGAACCTCGCGGAGAGGACGGAAGGCGCTTGCTAGGCGGGAAGAGGAGGACGTGCCTGAGGTAGAACGACAGGAGGAGCACCTCGAGGGTGGACTGGGGCCAGTAGAGTTCCACCGCTATACTGGAGGAGGACTGGGGAAAACGCCACAGCATATGCAGGAAGAGATACTGGCTGTTGAAGGGTCATTGCAAGCGTTGGAGGCACACCTGGACGCTGCCCAGTGGAGAGAGCCGCCGATGAGTGAGAGGCGCCTTGAGACTGTCGCGGAAGTACCACAAGAGGACGTTCAAGGCCCTGAACAAGAGGAGGGGCCGAGTGCTACAAAAGGCCGGATTGGGGATGAGATCATAAACGTTGAGGAGGACACTCCCCCTCAGGGATCAGCCGTGGGCCTGAGGCTTGGTGGTCCACTCGAGAGCCCGCCAGATACGAGGAAGAAAGTACAAAGGGAGGAAGTCTCGATATCGGTGCCAGAGACAGCCCTATCGCCGACAGGAATAGAGGCAAGTGAGGCGGAGGGGGCCAGCCTGAGGAGGGAGGCAGACAGTCTGATTGATAGCCCTTTGGCCGCCCACGCTCTGGAGCAGCCTAATCTGGAAGAGGTCATACCTGTGGAGTCACCCCGGGAACCAGATCAAGCCGAGAGAGAGGTGGAAGCAGGGATCCCAGGGGAAGTCGAACGACGCACGATAGAGGAAGTACCAGCGAAAGAAACGGCTGAGGAGAAACGGGCTAGAGTGGCAAGACGCTGGGAGGAAATCCGGCAGGAGGGGCAAAGATTGGAAGCGGCAGGGGTACTCTCAAGTCCGCCACCGCCCTATAAACCATATGGGCTCGGGGAGATATGGGGAGAGTTTCTTGCTCATCATGGCGAAGGGTTGACGACCCCAGGCAAGGCCGAGGTTGAAACTTCACAGAGAGCTGATGAGTATTTGGATCAGAGGATTTGCTCCGTATCCAAGACCTCCTTCGACAGGCATATGATGCTGGAGGCAGATATGAGAGGGAAGGAACTGAAGGAAGCAGGGCTGGAGTCGCAGTTGGTGACTATTGAGGCATCCGAGAACTCAAGGCTCTGGTGACTAGCCAGGCCGCCACCATCCTGGAATTGAAGCAGCAACTCCTTGGCGGCAGGGATGGGGCGGAGAGTAGCAGGCCAGGCGAGCGGAGGCAACTGGGACATGACGTATCAGGGCAACCAGCTGTGGCTGAGCCTCAGCAAGAGGCACCTATAGGAAGAGTCATTTTGGAGCCTGAGGAGGCAGAGGCCAAGAGGAAGGATGAAAGGGAAGCCTTCGAATTCAGAGCCCCTACGGAGCTTCCGGTGCTACCCACGATGGCTGCGGACCCTGCCATGCCACCGTCACTTGAGGAGAGACTGCCCTCGGCCAGTGATGAGCCTCCCCAAGGATCGACAGGAGGATCCTTGGACGTGCTACTGGAAGCAGTCCACTCTGTGCAGGAGGTTGCTGGTTTGTTTTCATCAGAGTCCAAGTTGGAAGATCCCCTGGAAAGCGAGATGGGAGGTGCAATGGAGGGCATCATCGCAGGCAGGCCCCAGAGGTTGGATACTCCTGACTATGAGCCAGAGGGAGCAAGGGCGCAACCAGGGCCCAGTCCGCGAGAGTCGGAGGCAAGATCTGAGAGACCCAGAGATGTGCCTCAGTGCCATGAGTTGGACGGAGAAGCYAGGGAAACCCCATYGCCAGCAGGGCCCCAGCRGAAGAAGAAAAGGYCTAGGAAGTCGTTTGACTCGACCTGCTTCTATTGTACGAAGGAAGAGCACAGGGCATTGCAGTGCCTCAAATTCCTAAAGGACCAGGCAGACGGGAAGGTCTCGGAGTATGATGGGAAGATGTATGATAGGCAGGGTAGAGTGGTGGAACGAGCTGTAGATGGGGGTAGAGCTCAATTGTACAGGCAGAACCAGGAGGAGATGAGTGATTAGGGTCTGATTCACCTGAATAAAATCTGGACATTTCTTTGACGACTTTGCTATTACTTAGGCAGGGTGGACGCCTACGACGTTGAGTGTATAGATGGGACCTGCGGCATGGGATGGCCGCGGTAACTAGGATCATGTAAAATAGGGGGTGTGCACTAAGTGGCAATAGAATACTGAATTGTTTTGGGGATTCCTTGTACAGTTAACCATGTACTATATTCAGGGTAGGGCGAGTTGTTTTGTGTGGGTCCCGAGACGAGATTACCCTGTGGATTTTTGGATGAGATACCTCATCCCTGAGTGTATATCTGAGTTGAGTGAGGGTTGAGACTATTCCTTGTACATGACGATCACTCTCACTCTCACATGTGTGGCTTTATCCTGATGTGTGGTGGATGTTGGACGTATGAGTGGCATTTTGTATATTGTGTATCGTATGAATGGAATGTATGTGAACTGCCTACCCTTCGGTATACTTAGGCGATCTGCCCGCGGGCAGGCTTTCTTCCCTGTACCTTTCCGCTCGAATTCAGAGAGTTGCCAGCTCTCTTTTAAAGGTGCAGGTGACAGGGCCGGGTATAAGGAGGGGAAGCGCAGTCTGTCCTTGTGAAAGTATAAGAATCCCTTGGATTTGTGAGTCCTTGAGACTCAGATGCTTGCCATGCCGAATGTATGTTGTTGAGTTGTGATGAGGACCCATAAGTTGGTCCCTCAAGTTTGAGTTGTGCTATGGTAGGGGTGCCTGGGTTTTTGTGGAGGCAACCGCTGCATGCTGGGAGACCTATGGCGTGAGACCTCCCTCGTATGAAGGGTGTTTACCAGATCGGTGGCATGGTAAGCAAGGTTGGTATGATAAAGCCTGACGAGAAGGACCATGCTTGTTGCTTGGCCACTGTTGAGAGTTTGGAGAGGTCGCAAATAGTTTCTTYTRGGAGATRTCACTGGGATRCGTGGCCTCCTGCTCTGATMAAGTAAGGAAGTCACGGCCTTGTGCAACTGGCRGTGATTCTGTTTGTAAATGTGRARAGGTTGCCACGATCCCCTGTGTTGTCCCACAGAGGGCGGGTAAATACCTTTTACGTGTGACAGGCCTCTGCGTAGTCCCGCAGTAGGCTCGTAATTGTTGCGACCCACCGTCCAGCCACATGTGCTAATCCTGGAACATATATGAGAATACCAAGCTAACGGTAGAGTTTAGTATCACTAGGGCGCAACCCCTAGTGTTGGCTGCTGATCGACACAACCTGGCCAGCGGGCCTGCGTCGTTCCTAGGGAGTAAAGACTTAAAAGGGTGTGGCCACCTAGGAGGAATTTACTCTCGTAGACCGACGTGGGATAGGAGTCGAGTCGAGTCTTTTTTGAGTCCTGATTGAATGATTATCAGGAGAAATAATCTATTGCGGCGCAACCCGCGAAGACACTACCGCTGAGTTAACAAACGCGGTGGGCCGTAGACCTGGCACGATCACCCAGACTGCGGTGGGCCAAGATGGAGACCTAGCCTTTTTGTACTAGACTGCAGAAAGAGCTGAGTCAATATTAAGTATAGGTATATACGTATGTGTATTTGATTGCGGGAGATTTTCTGAGAAGGAAGGCGAGAGTGCCTTCAAAGGTCTCGGTTAGGGCCCGCGTCCTTAGTTTTGGCCACGACTAGGGACACCCAACGAGAAGCCGAAGGTTGTCTAGGACCAGGGGAAGAGGACGGCTGAGAGGGTCTTTGGAACTTATGCTGTCAGCATCCTAGTGCCTGGGCGATGAGGGCCGGGCTAGAATCCTGGCAGCATATAGTTGTGGAGGCATGGCTTGATGGAGGCCTCTACCCTTAGTCTGTCGGCTAATCGGATTGGTTCCTTTTCTCGTCAGCATTTGGAGTTGTGGTTGGATTTGTAGCTTTTTTATCTTGCGAAGCGACGGGGACGTCGCTTAATATGGTCCGGTAAGCTGTCGGCGCGAATACCCAGACAAGGGTATCCGCCCTAGTTTTTGCAAGTGACCGGAATTAAGAGTGAAGGTCTAAAGTGTACTGTGCGAGACGCGCCTAAGTCGGTTCGGCTACATGGGAAACCAGCCACTTACTTCGGAATCTGACACCACCATTCAACTCGCCATGGCCAAGAACATTGAAAACGAATCTTCACTCGAGATCTGCCTTTTTCAAGGCGGCCAAATCCAACATCCCGTCACTCCCGCGCACTATTTTTTTTTCCTTTCTTCCTCCTATTTTATTAATCCTTGCCTTAGTCTGACCACACCACTTGGTTCTCCCTGCCTCGAAACCCCAGGTTAGCATTCTCTCCCGCCAAGTTCTGCTAAGAGACGAGCACGTCGTAGCCTCTCTCCTCAGCCATAGCTTTGACGTTATTTTCTCCCTCCTCCTTCGACTGTACCTGGCCCGGAGCTGCGGCCAGGTTCATTTCACTCTTTTCCCGGTGTTTCTGCTGCTGCCCTTCCTCCCGCGGCGCTGAGCTCTCTTGCACCATCTCTCCTCCTTCCTATACTGCCACCCCCTCACTAGCCTGCGCTGTCTCCCCCCCTCACAGACGACTCTCATCACTAGCAGCGGAGAGAGTGCGACCTCTCTTTTTATACGCACTAGCCTTGTGCAGGGGCCGTGCTAAGCTCCTCTGCAACGTTCCAATTTTACCGGATGTCCCGAAGGACTGGGACACGGGTCTGTATTTCCACAGTTCAGTGGTGTATCCACTGAACTAGGCTCTTGGGCCTCACGGCCGGTCCCAAACCCAGCACATGGGCCGTGTCTCAAGCTGGAAGCAAAAGGCTATACAAAAATAAATAAAAATAAAACAAAAATAAAATGAAACAGCAGGATGGGGGGGTTTCCATGTGACCAGCTGGCCAGAGCTGTGTGCCTCCCCCACTGTGCCTTGGGCCGCTCCGCCCAGGCACAGTAGCCATCTTTCGGGCCCCAACGGGCATGCTCACACTGCGCCCCAAATCTGCGAAATATGCAGATCTGGGACAGGGCAATCTGAGGTTTTGGGCATGGTCAGGTCACACTGCTGTACCTTTTCAGATGGGACAAGGCCCTGGTCGTCTGTGGTAGCGGCAACTTGGTACCCTGCTGGTCGCACGGCACCACCCATAATCGGTGCAAGAGCTGGTGACCGCGAATTCCCTTGTCCCGCGACCACGCAGGCTGCCTGATCGAGGCACGCAAATGGTACATTTAGGACCTTGGTGAATCTGTGTGATTGGTCCTGCGCCTCACGGGCCCCGACGGCATACTCCCACTCACCCTTTTTCTCAGCAGACCGGGGTTGGCGGACGCTGAACTGCCACACAGGGTCCTTCGGCCTCGTGGGCAAATCACCCTTCCGCTCGCATGTACGTTGGGCCCCTCGGCCCGTGCTTCAATGGTTCATGCATGGGGTCACGGCCGGTCCTAAGACCGGTACTGGACCACGCCCCGTAGTGGGACGAGATAAATAGTAATAACAAAATAAAAATAAAAGTAAGAATAATAACAATTTAGAAAAGAAATTTAAGAAAAAGCGGATACGGGGTGGGGAACCGTCGAAACCCAGCCAGCCTCGGTCCTGCCTCGCGAGCCCGCTGTCGGACCCCCCCCAGCAAAAAAGCAAGGGGGATAGTCCCACGGGACCCTCAACCCCTCGGCTCCCCTGCACTCCCTCGCTCCTCCGCTGCTGGCCTCAATCTCCGCATCTCCGCCGTGTTAGCCCAGTACCGTAACCTATAGGGCCATGCCCCAGCCTGGTACTGGCCTGCGCGTGATCCCATATAACTGGTACACGCAGCCCCTAGGCCTAGGCCTAGCCCGTCCCTCACTCCCCACTCCACTTATTAAGCGCCTGCTGCTGGTAGGCCCCTTCACTAGCCTACCCAATTTGTGTCGCGGCCGCCTCGCACCCCATGCCGTACTTAGGACCGTCAACGCCGACTCAACGGCCACTAATCCAACTAAGGCACCTCTTATTCCTAGTAACCAAGATCTGGCCGGTTGCGCGCCGAAGGGGGGGGGGGGCGCAGATTGGGAGCGCGGCATGCTTTGGCCATCTTCAAGTAAAAGCTCGCTTCTCCTTGTGGCTCCTCGTGCCTGTCGCGCCCGCTGTAGCCAACCAGCGCAGTCATGTTCACAACGATGGCCAAAGGGCAGTTGTAATCACCTACCTTGCTGAAGTCGCCTTCGCCCAGGGGCATAGTTGCCTCCATCTCCGAGCTACCTCTGCTCCGTCCAATGGGCCCAGCGCGCTGTCGGGCATGACCTCCTACGTTGGGAGTGGGTTAGGAGAAAACAAGGGGGCACTGAAGAGAACGGGGGTGTAAGAAGAGGGGGAGTAAGAGGTG